TTATTGCTTAACTCCACTATTAATTGATAACGTCCCCTCTTTCTTTTCCTAGGAGTGGAAAAATTTCTAGCGTAAACTTTCTGTTGACTCTTAAAGAATTTTAGATAATCTCGTGATATGAACTTTCTACGTGAGTATGAGAGGTGAAAGAAGACGTGTACAATGCCCAGTATCATGATTTATCAGGAAAGACCGTGTTGTGTTTCGAACGGAAATGATACGGTAAAATTTATCGAAAACCCATAGAATGTGATATACTACGATAAATACAATTTCCTTGTACACATATACGATATCTTCTTCAAACACATACATTTCTCCATAATTTTTTTCCTCAAAACTCTTAGAAGAAAGATTTGTTCGTTAAAACTAACTGTCCGTACTTAGCTTTCTTAAAATACAATGTATGTAATTTAAACACTGTAGACTCAAAGACAGTCTACTGGGAAAACAAGACAGCAACCCATTTTGGGGTCCACAATTAGTAATCGAATTATTTGGATTGTTCGTAACTCTGGGAAAAATTTTAACCGTTTTTTTTGTAGTTAAGCAACTTAACATTTCGTTAGTGTCTCTTAAATGAAAATGATCTCTGCGTTATCGAATATCGACAGAACTAATTGAGAGAATTGATTACTATTACTTAAAAATCTTGGATATAAATAGAATAGCTAATTGCGATTTTTAGTTACGCGGGGTAAAATTCGTAAAAGATTAGAGTTACGAACAATCCAAATAATTCGATTACTAATTGTGGGCCCCAAAATGGGTTGCTGTCTTTTTTTTCCTAGAGTAGAGATGAAGGCTGAAGGATTTCTTATCTCCTAGATGTATCGAGTGTGTCGTCGATGGAAACGCGCGTCGAATTAAATAGCACACCAGTCGGGATTATGATGGACTAAAAACCGGTTTAATGTACATTCATTAACGTTAGAGTTAATAATAACGTGAATCTTAATTAGCAGTTGTGTCCACGTAATATGTCTATCTCTTGCGATGAGGAACGCATTAAAAATATACTATAAGTAAGATAAATCACCCGCGAATGATTAAATCCTAAATTCTCGCAACAAACAACAACACGCCTGTGCATTTCTTGCATAAAATAATTTTCTGTAATTCCAACAGACTTGTAGCACGATAATAAAAGAGATAAATGACATGGTCGCAAATGTTACGAAGTATCAGCAAACGGTATTCATTGAGCGTTTTCTGCGTTGTAAAATGTTCATATTTTTTTACGTATAAATGCAAAAAACCTGCATACAGTGCATCACAAGGCATCATAATATTACTACAAAATATACGCAGATTATAAGTTTGCTAATAAAGTCGCAATAAGTGACCGTAATCCGATGACACGTGAGAAGAATATTGTAATTTGCAAATAAAGTAACATTTTATCATTAATGTGGAATGAAAATTTGAAAACTACACAAAACTTTGTGCGCGTCATTGCGAATGTAGGTAGGTAAGAATTTTCCAAAAGCATCCTGCCAAAAGAGCATCGAACAGGTTGCAGATGGAGGATGGTCGGAGAGGTGCTAGCAACGTTAATTATTAATGTAAAGCGCTTATGAACTATATTCATACGAGAGGTCTGTTTTCGCCTTTGCCTTTCGACCGTTTCCGCCCCCGAATTAGAAGCGCCAATAAACGCGGGGCCCAATAAAGGCTCCGTTGTTTGATCAAGTGCGCGCCAGATCGTCTTTCTCCGTCTAACTTTCTGTACCCGTCTTTCTCTCTCTCTCTCTCTCTCTTTTTCTCTCGTGTAGCGATATAGGAGTCGAGAGTCTCGAAACACTGAGGGCACAACCGTGAAAAAACCGACAATTCGAGATGGTTAAACATGAGCTGTCCCGCGAACGTTGCAAGTGCTAATGAATGATGCGGAGTGCTGCATCATGCAACGGGCTCTTTCAGAGGGAGCGGAGACGAGCCTGAAGTTTGTGAAGGAAAAAAGCATGGAGTGGAAAGAACCGATAAGTCAGGGAAGAAGGATGTGGGAGGGTCTTATGTTAATTTATATCCAAAACCATTTGGTGGGTGGTTTTATGTTAATACGTGAACTTTGTCCCAACTATTGTATCCGCTTTTCCATTCTTGCGCTTTATCACATCAAATTGCATTAAGTCAAACCACAAAATGAATGTTGTATCTTCAAAACCACATTTAGTTGCATTGACGCACGCGATTCATTGTAATAAAGGTGCAAAGTACAAAGTATAATGGAAAAAAACAGCAGTGCCATGGTGTTTACGTATGCACGACTGCCTTCGTTTCTTCAAAGTTTAAATCAACGCAATAAGTGGACATTCCGAAAATTATTTATTACCGTGAACACGAGGATGCCCAAAATTGCAAAGCTTTGAAACTCCCCTTCCGCGTCTGTAGTATCATTTTTTAATACATTTTATCGTAATTTAATTCAATTAGTCAATTTTAATTTGATTATTCGTTAAATTGTTATTTGACTAATACCAATTCCTAATTTTTATTTCTATTAAATTTTTAACTATCACGATTTCGTCTTACTTATCGTCTTTCTTTCTTTAGCATATCTATTGTCACGTCACACTATAATGCTAAACGATTCGTCGAAATGGCCCTCTCTGTAAGATGCACGCACTTTTCACGCACGAAAGTCGATAGGCGTGACGATCAAGTCCGTGCAAGTGTGTTGGATAGGAAAACCTGCGGCTGCGTATGGCTCGGTATACGCGCTGCGTTTGCGTGCCGCCGCGATAGGCGGTCTCTCCGAGTGCGAAACCATTGTCGCCGGTAGGAAAACGAGAGAGTCACGCGTGTACGTACCGCTGATATAAGTGCCGTTCGTAAGTCGCCACAGCTCAAAGTGCAATGACTTTTAGAGCCTCACACGAGGCCTCACGCACGTATCGTTGCAACGCGATATAACGATAGGCGCCCTTCCGAACGCCATCCAAGATCCGGCGATCGTTGCACTTTAACTATATAGAGTTTCCCCTCGCGTTATGTCGAAATAATAATCAAAATTTGCTTCAGGCCCAAAGTTTCCGCGAAATTATGAGAAAAAAAAATTAATTTCTTCAAAACGTTAATTACTCCGAGTCGAAATTTTGGTTCTACGTTGAATTCTACTTTAATTCTATTATATAGTAGGACCTAAGACAGTAAAAGAGGTCGAACTGCAAGTACAACATTGACTCCTACTTTAAAACCGATAGTGCTGAAAATTTCTACTTTTGCCAGTTTAGCATTAAAGTAGGTCCTTTTAAGTAAGTTTGGGAGGAGTAAAAAATATAATGTCATCAAAGTAGGTCATTGCTAGTCTATGTAGGTGTATAGATCAGCTATTAGATGTAAATTATCATTAAAAGTGTTCTTAAGTATCCTTAAAATTATCCTTAAAAGCCACGAAACGGACGTTTTACGGAAAATATTGTTTTCTCAAAGAGACAATGAATGCACATTAATAGTATACGCAGTATATAGATATACTGTTAATAATTCTAAATCGATTGTTACTGTTGAGAATGATGGGAGAGACAGAGAGCAATATTGATTGCCTGGTGAAAATCGCGAACGATTGCAGTGGAAGACCAGCCACGTTGTGGATCGGTGGAGTAGAATAATGGCATTTAGTCCTGGCTAACATTACTTTACTGTTGCACGCGGTCATTAACCCATTGGCATCAATGAGCGGAATAATCCGCGCTCGCGAGTCGACCCGTGCCATCGAAACGCATTATTCCGGATGAGACCGTTTTGAATGTTGCAAACAAATTGTTTCCATCGCGTAATGACCGTTCCTGATCCTCGCATAAATTAAAAGTTGTACACATGTCGTAAATATATATTAAATATACGTTATAATTGATTTTCATAAATGTTCTTCAGGGTCTTTTAATATCTCCGTGTCGACGAAAACGCGAAAGTTCCCTGTACTAATCGCGGTGTCGTATCTGAAAGACATCCCGAAAATCATCCAAACGCACGATCGCAAGCTGAGATTCCCTGGCGCAATTGCAGGAGAAATTATAGCGATTTATGCAACGCTCACGGTTGTCGTTAATTTAAGATTAATGCGAAATGTGAAAGTTTCGATCGGAGTGGCGCCTGGCCACGGAAATACCGGGGGATAAGAAAGTAAGAGCGCGGTGCACGTAAGCATCTTATACGCACAATACGCGCCTTTACTGACCGCGGATGGCGCGCGTGCACGTGCTACGTAAACCAAGCAAATTATGTAAAGATGTAAAATTACTATGTAAAGAATACGCCACAAAGATAGGTAATGACAAATGTCTCGAAAAAGTGTGTCAAACGGCGCTATTACATTTATGCGCTTACGATGTAGATAAATGTTATTGGTCTGCCTGTCATTCCGCGTAATTTTCAATATCCTCAATTTCCAGTGCTATCGCAGCATTAGTGCTACGTACAACGATTACTACTTGTCTTATCTTTGTGAATAAAGTAATTTTATTAATTATTAAATTAACTATTACAATCTTCACAAAAATAACAACGTGATCTCTCGTTAGTCTTCCTTTCACTTTTGTCGAATCTTAACATTATTTGTTAATGTGTAAGAGCGTTTTAATTATAAAATTATATCTTTAAAGTCTTTACTTTTACACTTTTGCCATTCAGATTTTCAAGGATTTGTATAATAAGCGATTTCTCGCTCGTCAGTTCCGAATTTTCTAGATTTCCATTTCTCTCGAGTACAAGGCGATCACAAAAGTAGGAATATATGCGAATTAAAAATAAATGAAACTATTGGCTTGACTACCCCGACGCACCTCCCGACGTATACCCGAGAAAAATTGTCGCGCGTGTTTTCTCGTGAGCGGAGCCTCAAGAGGCACCGTCTCCGCAGCGTGGGAGAACCGACCAATAACGACAACTTTTTCGCAAAACGGACTCTGGGAGAGCTACCTTAAGCCGGTACTACATGAGCCGCCTTTCCGCTCGGTCCGGTTTAGCCGCGTGCATTTACCCGTGTCGTTACATACCTGCTTTTCTGCCTGCCGTTGCCTTGGCCTTTGCGATTCTCGGAACGATTTCTGCACCGATCTATCGATCCGAGATCTACGCAGGTATCTGTGCACGACGCAGAGACGCCAAAGGTATCAGCCGGAGGGTTGCCGGAGGGTTGCCGGGAGGTTTGCCGAAGAGGGTACTTTATCCTCGGGGGTTTTTACCTGGAAAATGAATCATATTTGGAAAACGTAAGATTGAGCGATTCTTAAGCCGCTTGCACACGGAGAGAGGCCCGCGTTAATTATAGCACGTGATTCAAGTTTGCGGCGCACAATAAAGAACATTTTCAGCGTGAGGCGGCGAGGCCGATAACATTTTCGATATTTATAACCATAAATATAGCTTTGATCACGCGAATGACTCAGACGTTGGTTAAATTAATCAATCTCTTGATGCCTCGCGCCCACGCGTATACCACGGTGTGTAATAGGCTGCAATATGATGCAGAATCAGCATTGATTAATGCCGCGGCTAGAACGCAGGCTTCTCCTGCATCTCCCTCGCCCTGTGACATTTTCATCGTGACATTTTACTTCGCGATTCTCTAATTACATAACTTGAGCGTACCGAATTTTTATCGCGGCCACGGCTTTCCTGTATATCCCACGTTCCTCGCGCTTCTCCTACGACGGAGAATAAAAAAAAAAACAATTGTTGAGTCATTATGCCATCCTGTTCAGCATGTGACATTTTCAACAGTATCGTTTTTCTCCATGTTAAAACACTTTACATAATCCTACGAATGTTTGTGTACGCTACGTTTTCTTTCGGTCGATTAACTGAGACGGAGTAATCGATCCGATAATTTGTATTAAGATGCATTACACAAATATACGCTTAAAAATCTGCGAAAATTTGAATTGGAAATTTTACTCGAGAATTTGCTCGATTGCAGCAAGAATTTCTTCCTCCGTTCGAATGCATTTCGTCATTGCGAGAATGGCCGAAGGAAAATCCAAGGAATTATATTACTTTCAAGAATTATAAAGAATATATTACAAGTCTGCTCGGAGACAGAGAAACCGCAGCGCGGAATTCTATATGTTATTTATTAAGCGCATAATTATTCATTCTGACTCATAACTGTGACGTACGTTCGGCGAAATGACGTTATCAAAAGTTCGCAGCGAAAGTTCGAATGACGCTATGCTTCCAAACGCGTCATCGTATTCGCGCAATGATGCAAGTGACGTCAACGGGAGAGCGAGCGAGGAGAAAGAGCGCAACGCGGTGTTTTGAAGAAAGAGCCAATACAGAGAAAACCTATGTGACGTGACGAGACTCAACATGTGAGTCCAGCCTGACAACTCCGATCGTCGCTCACCAAAGCGACATAGCAACGGTGTTTTTCCATTAAAACGCCCTGCGTATTGTTATCACCAATACCATTGTTGTCCGTGATAAATGCCGTCGAACTTTAATCGAGTCAAATTGAAGGAAAGAGCCCAACTAGTTACTTTAACCAGATTGCCCTCGCCAGATTGCACAACGTCGAAATTGAATACGACTGTTTCTCTCTCTCGCGTTGCCCGTTTCTCCTCGCCCACTTCGTTCGCGTCTGTCTGACACGAGACATCACGGACGTACGAGAGATGCGAAGTTGCAAGAAAGGTCCCTGGCTAAGCGCAGCGTTGCTCTGCGCAACACATGTTACATCCGCGCGCTTTTCACGCGCTCTCCCGCAATAATGGATGCATACGCCACGCACGTGACGGATACTTGCTCTTCTCTATCCGTTACTTTTTTTATGTATTTTATCTATATATTTTTTTTAACAATTCAATCCTCCATTCTTTATCCACGAACGGGAAAGTTACGTTGTTTTTCTCCCGTTCGGATGGTTTTCGGAACGTGTCAAGTCGCTGTCCCCACGTCGTAACGTTCTTGTTGGAGAACGATTTTTCTGCGCTTTAGATTCTGCACCTTGCTCTTTATAAAGGACTACAGATTGATGCACGGGAAATACCCGTTCTTTTACAAGCAGTCAGGTAGTTTATCCTATAGTCACGGGATTACCTGATGCACTTTAGCTCCGACGGTCGTATGCGTTCTGCAACACCTAACGACAAGATGCATATTTTTTCGCTGACGTCATTAATGCACAACGAATCCGCATGAGGTATGCGGATACGAATGTTATTTCATTGTAACGACGTTATATTTTTCGATGTTTCGTGTCGATCTATCATTCAAATTTATTTATGGGGTTTCAGTATTTAAATAGTCCACGCGTTTAAAAGTTTCGAAACGTTTGGCCATTATGAATGTTTTTATACATTAAACTTTTGTATTCCGCATCTAATATTCCGCGTCGGCTCTTACTGTCTTCCTATGTCTTTCTATTTTGTTGTTTATTATCAGAGCCCTTAGACTGTATTCGTTCTGTTTAAAATTTTGTTAAGAATTAACGTATGTGAAACGCTAATTCTCTACTATTTCTATACGCAAGAATATAATACGGAAAAGTTTTTCAAACTGTGGTTTTATATTTTTCTCGGACTTAAATTTTTCAGTGTCGTCTCGTTCGAACCTTGTCCCTTCTCGGATACACCACTTCCAACGTCGTTTCCATTTCTGAAAGCTGTCCAGGTACGCGTTTTTCAGGATCGTGTGTCTGCGAATTTTTCTCGCTTCCCTCAAATGCCGGGGGCTCCTTTGCCTTTCAACGTGGACGTCGTTTTAACAAAGGAAAAATTTGCAAGGATCAGGTCGGGAAAATATCGAAGGGAAGCGAAAGTCTGGACTGAGAAAAACAACTCATGGCTCCTTCACCAACGCGCTCAGATTATCGCTGCTGATTCGTCGCTCCACGCAAGACAAAGATGATTGTTTTCATAGCTTCTCTACTTTCGCGATTTGGTCCCCACAAACTTGTTTCCATTTTTTCAAAACTAAAATTAACAACGTTGAAAAACCACAGATTCAACGGTTGAAGACATATAGGAAAATTTGTGGGGGATGCCCGCTCATTTACGCACACAAGCAGTCCAGGTAGTGTATCCTGGAAACTACCTGACGGATTTACGCAAAGCTACGAAAAACGCCATACGAATACATAATATACTGGTACGAAACGTACCAGAACTGCTTCTAAAAGTGGAAATAACGTTTGAAATGGTGTCTGCCGAGAAGAAACATATTTCGAAGCAAAAACGAGGCCGAATAGGTTGTACTTGAGCTCGAAAAACTTACAAAGGCAAAGTTCGGAAACTTTCCAAACGGACCTCGTATATGATAATGTAAAATTATCAATAATTTAATCAGTTTTTTTATATAAAATACAATCTGTTAATACTTTAAGCTGGAATATAACGTGTAACTTTAATTAAGTTTACGAAATACGATATATCTCGTACGAAAAAAAGGCAAAGTAACGATCAACGGAAAAAGAATTGTGGGAAATGGTTGTACCACTTATCGATTAATCTAAAAATTTCACGCTCAATCATACACGGCTTATAAACCTATCGCAGAAACGGGAGTGCCAGAGCTCTCTCTCTCTCTCTTGTTCTCACGCACACAGTTCTCACAAAGAGCCCGCATATCCCGGTCTGATATCTCTGAATATAGTCCGGCCACCATGACGGAAACTGACTCCCATTAGCCGTTATATTTAGTGACATGAGAATCTGTTCGGGGTTGAAAACACCTCCCCACGAGATTCGACAGCTCACCCTCATAGGCCCGTATATTACGATGCGTACCACGACACTCCCTAATTGGCCACGAGTCAGGCTGCTCCGGCCGCCGCGCACGCTCGATTATATCTACGATAATAAAGCGGCCAAGTCTTCCCGCGTGATTGATATATCGGTATCAGTTAATCGGTATCAGTTACATTGAGCTTTCGCGTTTTCGCAAAGGAAAGTCGCGATCTGTCGATTAAAACGATATCACGCTGTAAATTTCTTTTTGTCATTCGATAAGAAGATCTTGTTGGTCTTCAAAATACATTGGTGCGATCAAGAATCAAGACAGACTTTCCCCCGATAAATCATTCGTTTATCTGAACAGGCCGATACATATCTCATATCGTTATTTATTTACCTTACCGCGAAAGAGATCGCGGTTCCTCGGGAGCAATTTCAATCGGCATTTGACATTGCGCCGCCGTGAAATCTCGCTTCCTACTCACGCGACCTCGCGGCGGCCGAACTTCCGGCTTTCCCCTTCGCGAAATGTCACTTCCGTCTTCGATTAGCGGCGCCGACTGGTACGTGCGAAATTCCGTAAAAACGTTTCTTCTCACTTTACACACGCAGTTAAGAAATACACGGCGGATTACGGCTAATGCGACCAGATACGTGACATTCTTCCTAAACCGATCGGCATTTTTTCACGCGTGCCGCGTTACGCGCAATTTCCCGAATTAAAACGTCGAAAATTACATAAATCACGCCGATAACAGAATCCAGTCGACTCTACGCGGGGCTCTACAGGTGACATTAATACTTTCGCAACACATTTCCGAAGAGATTTTCTTCGTATCGGCAACAGTCGCTGCTGATTATTATACGTATATATATATATGTGTTATATAAATAATATAATTAACAGAATGCTTTGTTATGTAGAATGCGTACAGTTATGCTGTATTTTATGTACAGTGCAACAAGTTTATTACTATCAATACAATATGTTTGGCGATCTATTTACGCCGGAGAGAAATGAACACGAGTTCACACGTGAGGTTTCATTACCTCCAGCTAATTTATGCGTGATAACCGTATCCCGGCCGACAATGAATCGATCGTTATAAAATTACGGACAATCGCTGCTGGCGGCGTAATTTACGCTCGCGGTCGTAAAATCGTAATGGCGATTGGCGACAAAAAATCGTAACGAACGTAGACAGTTACTGTTTAGAAGCTGCGGTCTACGCCGCAGGTGAATAAAAGCTGGATTTCATTCATGCCGTTCGACCGCTGGAATGCGCTCGAGTTGTCGAGCAGCTGAGAAAGAAAGAACGGGAGAAAGAGAGAGCGAATGATCTGTACGCACATCTAGAGTACATACATATAGTTTTGCATTCGCAGCAATAGAGAAAGAAGAGACAGTCCCCCGTCACTGCATTCAGCTCGCGTTTATTCCCCTCGGAGTAGACTGGTACTTTATTTGTCGCGCGGCAAATAGATACTCGAGGACTTTTCTATCCTGCAGCCAATCAACACGCTTAAAACATTTGTCGCACGGCCACTGTAACACCGGCCTTAGGGTGCTGCTACATTTGTACGACAAACGTTTCAAGCGCGTCGACTCGCTACAAGCTAGAAAATTTCTGGATACTCGAGGACTTTTCTATCCCGCAGCCAATCAACACGCTTAAGAGGATGCTGGAGTGATTCTGCACTTTTGCCCCAACCTAGAAACCGTCCGTTCACGGAAACATTTGTGTAGTATACAAATTAAATGGCTTACGTGTACAGATCGAAAGCAGCTTGCTATTCCGGCTAAATTAAAGAACAAGATGGCATCACTGAAACCAAGTTTGTAAGGCTGATGGCAGAGAACGATCCGTAAACGCTTAAGACTGGCTTAGTCGTAGGCCTGGTCTACAATGAGTTGTTAATCGTTAGTCAGAAGTCGGAACTATATGTTGGTCCTTTTCCTTTCTGGATGGATGAAAAAAGACCGACATATAGTTCTGACTTCTGACTAACAACTCATTGTAGACCGGGCCGTAGACGTAGGGCAAGGCAGAGAGAAACGTAAGTCGTGAAGGGCTATCGTATACGACTTACGTTTCTCTCTGCCTTGCCCTACGTCTACGACTAAGCCAGTCTTAAGGCCCGGTCTACAATGAGTCGTTAGTCGTTAGTCAGAAGTCGCAACTATATGTTGATCCTTTTCCTTTCTGGGTGGAAGAAAAAGGACCGACATATAGTTCCGACTTCTGACTAACAACTCATTGTAGACCGGGCCTAAGCGTTTACGGATCGTTCTCTGCCAGCAGCCTTACAAACTTGGTTTCAGTGATGCCATCTTGTTCTTTAATTTAGCCGGAATAGCAAGCTGCTTAAGCGTTCATGGATTGTTCTCTGCCATCAGCCTAAGTCTAATAAGAAAGAATAGCGAGCCACATACAGTGCATGTACTATTACATTTGTACGGCAAATGTTTTAAGCGCGTTGAATCGCTGCGCGCTAGAAAATTTCTGGATACTCGACAACTTTTCTATCCCGCAGCCAATCGACACACTTGAAAAATTTGCCGTACGACAAAGTATAATATCAGCCTCAGGCTGGTATTACACTTGCGCGAGTGCGCGATCAGATTTTAACAAATCGACATTCCTCGCGAAACGGGGCGATTTCTTATTTCGCGCATCGTCGCTCTTACCAGTTTCCCTTCGACATGTAGAGCGTTGCTCGCGCGCTCGCTCTCGTAATTTATTGCATAAGCGCCTTGGCAGGATCCTCGCGTAGTCCCGGCCCTTCCGTAAAGGAATCCAACTTTTCCGCGAAGCGGGACCCTTTCTTTTCACAGCGGGATCGTCGGAATCTCAATAAGAAGCTGTTAGCCGCCTCGCAACGTTCTATTACGCTGTTACGATCCTATTATCGTTTCTACAGAAAGGCTGGCGCAACTCGCTCTCACCCATTTTACTCGCTAATCGGCGCGTAAAGAGAGAAAGAGAGAGAAAGAGAGAGAGGAGGGGGGGGGAAGAAACAGAAACAATCGGCAACGTTCAAGTGACTCGGGGGGGAAAAGATACTAACTTGCTGAGGGAGGCGCGCTCCACGAGCGTCCATCGCGTACGCATTTTCGGGGCCGCGTCTCGCGATCCCGGCCCCCGGCGGAGCGGATCGGAGCGAGTCCCTCGGGCCGGAGGGATGCGACCCCGGATCAGCGTCCAATGAGGGGCGCCCGGGCGAGGATTGGAGAGCCGCGCGGACGATCCAGGGCGACCGAGTGCCGACGTAGAATCACGTAGATACGCACGTAGCCGCCGCGCCGCGCGCGCGCGCGCGCGCTATTGCCACGTCGGTGCGGCTGCCCCACCGCCGTCACGTGACGCGCGCGCCCGCGCGGGATTGGCCGGCGCGTCGGCGCCGCTCGGCCGCCCCCACCACCGCCGGGCCTGCGCGCGGCCCGCCGCCGAGAGCCACAGGCCGCGGTGCCTCAGTCGGCGGCGCTCTCAGTCAGCTTTGGGAGGCTCTGCCCGAGACACGGTGGTAGCACCGGAACACACGCAAAATCCACCCGGTAAGATTCTCTTCCCCTCTCCGTAAGACGGGTCGCTCGGGCGAGAGTGCCAAGTTCAAGTTCGTTAAACGCGACATAGAGAGAGAGAGAGAGAGAGAGAGAACGAAGGGAGTCCGTCGGCCGACGACGGGGCCCGTACACAAGCTCGACAGCAGCAGCACGCACGCGAGTTTTTCGCCGCCGCGCGAGGCCGATCCGTGGGCGAGACGAGACGGACAGTAAAAGGGCCGGCCGATCCCGCGCCAGAGGAAGCACGAATTCGAGAAGCGTACGCTCTCCGTATTCGCGCGCTCCCGCCCGTTCCTACATTTTTGGTCCTTTTTTTTTTGTTTCGAACGATATTCCGCGACACGTGTCGGCCGGGGGACACGTACTGTTTATTCACGCGTGGGTGCTTCAGGTGCGAGCTTACGGCGATACGCATACGGTTCGTAGTGGCAGTTTTATTGTGCTCTGAGGAAAGTTTTTTCTCCCCCCCCCCTGTTCACCACCGACGCCCTCCGACGTCGCGCCCGCTCGGCCGAGGGACGAGAAGGAAGCGAGAGGAAGGCAGAAACGGATCGGACGCAGCGCCCGGGGCTCCAAGGCTACAAAGTGTGTTTTTGTGCGAGGACACCCGAGGACCATGTCGACCGCCGTCATGAGCAACACCTCCATGTTCGATTGCGGCGAGCATCTCTTCAAGGTAAGCACCTTAGCCCTCTCGTCTAAGCGTCTCGCGGCGCGTCTCGCTCCCGCCGATCGTTTTCTGGAAAAGTCAGGCGCGTATCGACGCGGATAATATGCGAAACGGACAAAGGACGGGAACGATAAAGACGTTCCGCCACGCTCGGCATTGTGAGGTAAACGAAATGTTAACCTCCGAGGGACGGGACGGGATGTTTTGCGACCCCCCGCCGCACGGTCTCTTGGAAAAATCCCTTTGATCCATTATCGCGCCTCGCTTTGTCCACGTGTGCCTTTCCATTCGACACGGCCGATTTACAGCCGGATATCCGCAGGTAGACGTCCCCTACTCCGGCAGGTATACGCGGCGACCGCGAATTTCAGGCAAAACATCCTCGTCCGAGCCGATTGGCTCGCGCGGCATAGGCGGACAAGCAGGCTCGGATAAACCTTATTTCGCGTTCATTTGTCCACGCGTGTCAAGTCCCTCTAAGCGAGAGGGACAGGTAAAAAGGTCCCGGCATTATCTCGCGATCTAGCATTGGTAAAGTAACATTTTCATAATGGGGTCTTAAAGTCGTTTCTCTACGTCCCGGCGACACTCGAGGATCGACTCCTCTCTCTCGAGGGGAGGGGGGCTTTAAAATTATTCAATTTGTCGAACGCACACGTGTTTTTGCACAGTTCCCTCCCCCGCGCGTCCATCTTTCGTTTCTCCCGCCGCTTAAGTTCTCCTCGAGATCCTTTTGCGCGATGCGGGAGTCGCGAGATAACAGCCGGCCCGCCGCCGCTGGACATTAAAGTCCGAGGGGGAAACCGCTGAGGGCATTGTGGTGTACGGGTCTGCGGCATTACTGGGCATTACTAGGCATTTTTTCGAGCATTAGTTTGGGCATTAGGCCTTGCTGGGGCATTATAAAGATAAAATAGGACAAAATGTAACAAAACAAATGAGATAAAATAAGATAAAGTAATGCCCACTGGGCCTTAGTGGACATTGGTGTAGATTTTTGGGCATTAGGCCTTGCTGGAGCATTATAAAGATAAAATAGGACAAAATAAAACAAAACAAATGACATAAAATAAGATAATAAGATCGAGTAATGCCCACAGGGCCTTAGTGGACATTGGTGTAGATTTTGGTCAGCGGTTTCCCCCTCGGTATCTTCCGTTCGAGGCGGAAACCACTGAGGGCATTGTGGTGTACAGATTTTAGGCATTACTGGGCATTACTAGGCATTTTTGAGCATTACTTTGGGCATTAGGCCTTGCTGGGGCACTGCAAAGACAAAATAAGATAAAGTAATGCCCACTGGGCATCAGTGGGCATTTGTGTACAAGATTTTGGTCAGCGGTTTCCCCCTCGTTAAAGTCCCTCGGTCCTCCGGCCAACCGAATCTCGTCTCCACCGTCGCGGGCCCGCCGGGGAAGAGACGATCGAGTGGGCCCGCGCGACGCACCGGGAGCGGCCGCGCCGCGCCGGTGTAACGCGAGAGAACAAGCGTGGGCACGCGAGCGGGAAAAATATCGGGCAACGGGTGACTGGATCGAGACCGGAGAGCCCTGGAGCAACCAACGTTCTCACGTCCGCGCGCGCGCGCGTTCGCGTTCGCGTTCGCGTTCGCGGCGCCTAATGGCGCCTACGAGGTCTGGTAACAGCAAGAAAATGTCGACGTTTTAGAAAGCGAAAGAAATTTTCTCCGGGATATCGGCAGGTGTATATCGGGATTCGGAACGCGAAACGCATATATCGATCGCAGACGTTTCTTCGTGTTTACGACGTATATGTCGTTATCCGCCGATATCTCCCGCGATACGTCGCCGACGGTGCGCCCGGCACAATGTGTCCCCGGCGTTATCAGTCGAGGGAGAAAGAGGAAAAAGGAACGTCGAGAAACCTCGGGGAAACGAGACCGCGCGGCGGACGACTCGCGAAATTCTAAGTCGGGGATCGCGCGGTCGCTCGATCGCGAATACGCGTTTGACGCCGAGAGTTGTTATCGTAAGTTAAACAGAGATGACGAATTTCATTTACATTATATTCATGTAAAATTTGTCACGCTGAAGCGCTCGTTTATCAGTTTATTATTGTTATCTCGTCAGATATGCCTAATCTGAACCAATATTTTTAACCGATATAATACATGTAAATATTATATCTCGCATTGTAATGCGATGCGATACAGCGATATTTCCGAAGCTTTCCTTCGACTCGAGTGTTTTTCGGTCGCTTCGGGTTTAGATTAGATCGGGCCTGTCCACGAGATTGGTCCCAATCTCTCGGGAGGGGAAATCTTGTACGTTTTTTCGAGCGCGGCGCGCGCGCACGCGGGAAGAATTTGGTCTTGAAATTTGTCCGGAGAATCGTGCGGTTGCGGGACAACGTGGCATTTTGAAGAACTTTGCTTGTAAAACTCTCGTAAGGTTGTTCGAAATGCCACATTGTCACGGGATTGCATCGATTTCACGGTAGATTTTAAGAGAGAATTCCCTCCGCGCGCGCGCACGCGACTCTCGGCTTGATTCCGCGAGAATTGACCTACGCTAATTAATAACTGCAGGAGCCCAACGAGATCGAAAGGCAAATTGTCGGTCGAACACTGAAAAGAAAATTTTCGCCACCGCCGTAGCCAATCATTTGCTACAAATATTTTGCTGCCGTAACGTTAGATTTCTAAACCACAGCAAACGGTTCGCTGTCGCACCTAATACAATAGGCACAGTAGCGAAACGTTTAGCTATCACAACTAAATATTAGCTGTCCATATTTTACAACTAAAATTTAGTTGCCACTTGCAGTTTTTTTGCTACGGCAGCCACTTTTTTCTTCCCTTGAATGTATTAATAGTAATCGCTGGCGGTCAGGCGCGGCGTATATTCCCCGTTTCGCGTCGATAGATCGAGAGGCCTTCATCATTCGGACGGGCCCGGGCGGTCGCGCGTTCTCGCACGACGTAAATAAAAGGCCGTCGCGAGTCGAGCCGGAGACTCTCACCTTAGAGAGAACTAGGCACAACACTCTCTTTGGTTTCTCCTCCGACGAAGTCGAGTTTCTCTGTGTGACGCGAGTCGTGCCACTCGTCGAGTCTCACGACCGCCGCGAGTGGATTTTCAGAGGAAACGCGGAGCAGATCTGACGGCTTTTAATTGCTCCGAATTTAATTGCCGCAAATCCGACGACGCCGAACGGCTTGTCCGCACGAAAATTTCGTGCACGGCGATTCAACGGCAATCGAAATGTCTCGCCGCGATCTTAAACTGTTTTGTCCAAAAGTGTATTTCTCTTCCGTTGCGTCATCTAAACGTTTAAAAATTTACCACCGAATTGTCACATGTATACATCTCGTCCAACAATTATAGTTTTCAAGACTATTTGGATTCTTATTGATCTATAAATCGAAAAATTATCGATGTCTGTGCATTGCCAATAAATACTTAATCCGAGGATTTTTATTAACGCATTTGTGTAAAAGGCGTATTCTAAAGTCCAGCATGAAAATGATGTTGAATCGGCACCTGAGGAGCTTGTTTCCGTAAAGAATTTTCTCTGCTAAAAAGGAAGTTTCTCTCAACGGAAGTCACCGGAGCTTTTTGTTCTCCGAGAAATGCGCGAGTTATAGGACACGTTATAGCTTAACGCGTGATTCCGCCATGTTCGTTAAATTAACGATAACGCGGTGCAAATTAATGTCTTTAATTATTTACTCGTGCGAAGCTTCGCGTTTTGCGAAAAATAGAAAACGCGGCGGTAAAAATAATCTAACCATTAATTTCGCTCGCGCGAGAATCCGAGCGACGGAATGCAAAAGAGGAGCGGGACGAAATAAATAGCAACAGTAATAATCGCGAATTACGAGCGAACGGTACATACGCGGAGCGAATGTCGCGAGCGGAAAAAGTCGGTGTTGATCGCTGCTCGATGATCTTTCGATTCTACCGCAGTTCCCGCGGGAGAAGAGAACCGACCAAGCTGGTCTCCATTTCCAGGGTGGTGTCATCTTTACATCTCACCGCGTCTCGCGCTCGCGGCGCGATCGCTCGTCGCACGTGTCGCGCGGCGAGAATTCGCGCGCGGAATCGCGCTGGTACTCGGTGGTACCGCTTGCGCCTTGCGCGCGCGAGTGTGTTGGTGCACGTTGGATTAACAAATGCATCCTCCATCTCGCTCGCTCGTTCGCTCGCTCGCACTCGCGATTCCCTTCTCGCCGCGCACTCTCGATTGCACCGTCATGCGGCACGACGGAGACAGAAAGGCGTATTTTATTATGCGTCCCGACGTAGCGTTCCCCCCCCCCCCTTCCGGCAAATACATATGAATATTTACTCGGAAAAGCTCGAGTGCACATTAACTGCGCGAGTCATTAAAACGAGACTTAGATCCCTGACGAACGGAGCAAATATTCGTCGTTGACGATCGGAATGCGTACAAAGTACGCGGAGCCATGCTTTTGTTTTTTCTTCTTTTTATTAACTATACCAATAAAAGGGAAAGATACTACAATACGGCTCGAGTTTACCGAGGGCTAAACCGCTGAGGGCATTTTGTGGTGCACATATTTGCGGCATTACTGGGCATTACTAGGCATTTTTGGGTATTAGTTCGGGCCTTGCCGGGGCATCATAAAATAAGATAAAACAAGGCACGATAGAAAAGTGAGGAAAACTCTAATATAAAAAAACCAAACACTAATCAGGCACGTGTATCATTATTATCTTATTTTATCTTGTTTTATCTTATCTTATCTTTATAATGCCCAAAAAATGCCGCAAATCTGTACACCACAATGCCCTCAGCGGCTTCCCCCTCGTATTATTATTAGGATAAAGTAAGATAAGATAAAGTAATGCCCACTGGGCATTAGTGGGCATCGGTGTACAAGATTTTGGTCAACGGTTTCTCCCCCTCGGAGGTTTCACAAGATCAAGATTTGTTACTCTCGATACCGTGTATCGATTTTTAATTTTTTTCGCAGGAATGCGCAGGACTTTCTAAATATTTCTCGTTCCACGTGTACGCAC